AGAATTAGAGGCCAGAGGAGGAGGAGGAGGATTAGCAAAGATGAGATAGGCGCAGAGGAGGCAGGTTCAGCCATCAAGGACCAGCCAGGGAAAGAAGCCAACCCTCCTGGCTGGAAAAGGAGCAGACAGGGAGCAGAGAAACAGATGGAGTAATCATGTAAAGAAAGTGGGTTCACTAACTCCAGGGACCTGGAGCGAGGTGGAGCGGAAACATACAGAATCCAGAGGTGGAGAAGGGGGGGCAGGACAGCCTCAGTCTTGATCTAGAACAAACATTTCCCAGGCAAAGCAGGACTAGAGGAGAGGAGCAGCCAGGAGAGGCCTTGCTGCAGAGGAAGGGAGCGCCTCAATCCACCCTACCGACGGCACCTCCTCGGAGGAGTGGGCCCCGCACTTGCGGGAGCTCAGGCAGGGAGGAGCCCCGGGAGGCTTGAACTTGTGCCTTTAAGGCAGGGGAGTCCGGGAGCGGGCCGGCAGGAGGGGAGACTCTGGATCCCGGGGTGGGGCAGCTGTAGCCAGCTAGGGGAGGCGCGGGCCGGGCAGGACTGCACGGACAGCAGGAGGGGGGGGAGACAGCCGGGACATGAACTGGAGGAACAGGACCCGCCTGGGACAATAAACCACCAGCCAGAGCCACTGTGCAGTGACAGTGGCCCCGGGGCAGGGGCCAGCCCAGGGGAGGCACGGGAGCCAGCAGGCAAGTTGAAGCCTGGAAGGAAGGGAAGCAGTGGAGGAGCAGCGGCATGAACTCAGGTCTGGGGGGGAGGCGGCGTGAGAGCTCCACGCACTTTGGCTGGCTCCCGAGAGTGAGGGTTTTTTGTTGGGGGCACAGAAGCGCGCGATGGGGAGGCTCGATAGTGTTTGGAGGCGAGCCCGAGGCCATTGGGGCTGGACTGAGAAATCGGGGAGGAGATGGGGGGCTCAAGGCTCCCACCCTCACCCCCTTCCTCCACCCGAAGCGAGTGCCAGGCTTGCTGGGACCCGGGGAAAGGCATGTATTGGGGAAGGGACTGGGTGAGGTTTTCGCAGAGGGGCTGTGGGGTGAGCCTCCGAGTTTGGGGTAGACTGTGATTGTGTTTAAGGGAGGAGGGCAGTCTGGGCGGCAGGAGGGAATGCCCTCTGCCTGCAGGAGTTCCCCCCAACTCCCTTAACCCCAGAGCTTGGCGATGAAAAGGGTGGTGTCACTGCCCGCTGCAGGGGGCCAGGGTGGGGAGCAGACTTTATTCTGAACGTGGCCTGACCGAAAACCTAGAGGTGGAATCCCGAGATGGGGACTCTTTCCCCATACCCTCCCCTTACTAGAACACCCCTGTGGGTGGAAAATCCTAGTGGGGGTTGTGTGCTTGGGTGTGGAAGTGGGAGCCTTCTGCGGTCTTCAGGGAGACTGAAGGCGGCGGAAGCCAGGCCAAGGCAATCCTGGACCTCCAGATACAGGCCTTGGGGGAGGCTCCTCTACATCTGGAAAGGCCTGGAATTGAGGCCCACTTCCCAGCATGGTGGGCGGTGCTGGCACTGAAGGGCCCTGCCTGGGCAGCGCCTTCTACCATGAACTTTCTGAAGTCACTTTAAATCCCCTGGAGCCTCCTTCTGCCAAGGAGGGCAGGGGCAGGGACAGACAGAGGTGGCCAGGAAGAGGGTTTGGGCAAAGCAGTGGGCAGAGCTATCCTTGGGGCTGGGCCTTGGCCTGCTTCAGACTCTGGGTCTCAAGCCGGAGGATCAGTGTTGGGAGGGACTTGAGGTCTGGGAGGCACTGGGCCTCCAACTGCCAAGCTGAATGGATGTGGCTCTGGCTGTGGGAGCTGGTGTCTGAAGCAGCACATCTGTGAGAGAGAGCAAGGGACCAGGACCCAGGGGCGGAAAAGGTTGGAGGCAGGGGAAGAGGGAGGTGGTCTGTGGTTCAGAGTGACGGATTATTTCTGGACAACGAAGGTTGGGGGACCATGTAGGGAAGTTTTGTGGCTTTGAGCAGTGCCCTCCCTTGTTCCTTGTCATACCGGCCTAGTCTGGGGTGCCAGGAGTGCTAGGAGCCTGGTGAGTTCTCCAAGGTGGGCAGTGGTGCTTGGGGTGGAGTCCCAGGTGGGGTGGTTGCAGTTAGTTGGACAGTTACATAACTCGGAAGCTAACCTCTTGGGGAGTCAGAGTGTTCTGGGGATGGTCATGCATTCTCCTGGACAGTGTCTGCCCCTTCCTCTGTGGGTATGAGCCAGATGCTAGGATGTGCTTCCAGGAGGCTGGGAACATGGCCAGAAACAGGTCCCTTGGGAACAGAGGTCTGGGCCATTTCAAGTGGGGGGAGGAATGGTTAATACAGGGCAGGGGACTGGCAAGTAGGAGGAGGCTAAAGCAAAATGTCATGGTAGGGGTGGTGGGAAACCTGCTCACTCTGGGCTTTGTCTCCAGCAGCTCTGGGGACTGACAGCCAAGGACGTGGGGACTGATAGAACCAGGTGTCTGACTGGCTGGGGAGATGTGTGTTCTTGCTTGTGGCTCTTCTGTCTTTCCATTTCTTGGACGCTGGCAGAGTTTTGGGTTCAAAGTGGTATAGGGTGGGGGAGAAGAACTCATTTATCGGGTGTGTGTTATGTGAAAGATACTGTTGGATTTTTTTCATGACTATTACTTTTCCCATTTTACAGATGAAGAAACTGATACAGGGAGATAGTAACTTGTTCAAGGCTGTGCAGCCAGCATATAATTACCCTAAGGTTTGAAGCCTGGTCTTGCTCCAAAAATTGTGCTTCTAATGAAGTATTTTGAAGAGCCAGGCTTCCTTTGGTGACTTTTTCCAAATGCCAACCTGACCCAAAGTCTTGGATTTCTGATCTGTCCCTCCAGAGGGTGCTGTTGGTGATGTTAGGAGGGCACGGTGCTCTGTGGGATACGGGAGAAGGGATGCTGAGAGAAGTTGGCTGAGAGTGATCCAGGGATGTGGGTCTCTAGCATGCAGAGAGGTCCCCAGTCTGCCTTCTGTTTAGTGGGCCTCTGGGTGTCTGCTCGAAGTGCCACTTGTCTGCCTTGAGCTGCTGATCCTGTGGGCATTACCCCCCC